TTATGTAATGAGTCACATGTTTACATAGTCAGGACGGAATCCCTAGTGAAAATCATATTTAAATTAACGGTGGGTGTTATAATTTTCACCAAACGAAACGCAAGGACCGATGTCTCCAACTCGTTCTCCACCTGGACTGCTGTGAAAACGAGATTCATCTAACAATTAATCTCTCTCTCGGACAATATAATTAATTAATTCTTAATCAATATTTTTTATTATCTTTTAAAGTGCCATTTAATATCATCAGAATTATATCTTTGTTGTTGTCTCTCAAGCATATATTTATATTATAAGAAACAAGTTGTAAGTGTATGAATTAAATTCACGTTGTAAGTTCATGATAAAAAACAATAGATTTGTTCTTCATTGCTGCACTGGACTGTATTAGATTACATTACAACTTTCCTTTTCACTTTCATCAATTATGAAACATGTGCTTATTTTATTTCAAGGCCAAAGAATGTATATTGCGTGGGTGGTATAAAAAAACCACCTACTTATGGATGTGTTAGATAATAGATAACACAAGCATCATTCTTTCTTAATATTCAATGAGTGACAATGCAGGACAATTCTTGTTTCATCAAATGGAAAGCACATGATATAATTTTTTGCTTCAATTTTATATTGAGATTTGTGAATATAAAATATTGCAACAAAAGCTCTTATCTTTGAAAATTTATTTTTTTTCTTATGAAACAACGAACAATTTGCAGATTCGCTATCAATCATTTATTCTGAATCATGTCGCAATACGAAGATGTCATTTTGGAAGATAAAGAAAAAGAAGAAAATTTATCGGTAGATTTAGGAGGAATGCGACATCGTATCCCATGGAGCGAACGTGTATTGTTAAATAGTGAGATACCAGGTTTATACGAAGTTAAAGAATTATTAGAGGATGACGACGCAAGTTGTCTGGGAGAAGAGGAAGATGGGGTCGGGTGTCCATTACCATCGACGCCGGAAGATGATCATCTTCTGGATTGTGAGGTATGTATATTGTTTCCTTTTGCATTAAAATAATTTGTACATGGAGAACAATTTTGAAATATCTACAAGTATTTATAAGTATGTATAAGTATTTAACTAGATACATTGTCGATGAACGGTTAAATTTTTTTCATAATTATTTTGATGGTCCAACAAAATTACTTTTAGACTATATATATAAAAGTACATGTAAATTTTTTGATATTTTAGCAAAATCGTTCTTTCCATTTAATTAACGAGTTAAACATCCAATGTTTATATAATATTATATTATATAAATAATATATTATATTATATTATAGATGACTGAAGTATTAAAGGCGGGAGTACTGAGTGATGAAATCGATCTAGGTGCACTAGCACATAATGCAGCGGAGCAGGCTGAGGAATTTGTTCGAAAGGTAAAAGGATATTCAGATATTTATAATATTGTTGCGTATGTAATGAAAATATCTTTTTACCAGACAGAGATAATAGTAGACAGCTATAGACAGCTAACTTTAACATCAATAGCGAATTAATCTTTATTAGAATGAATCTACATTATAATTTGACATTGTTAATCAGCAAATTACAAGTTTAAAGAAACTGGAGATGTTATTTATAGGTATGGGAGGCATCATGGAAACAGTGTCACTTTAGGAATCTACCAAGATGGTTGCAAGATAATGATTTCTTGCATGCTGGTCACAGGCCGCCATTACCCTCATTTTATGCATGCTTCAAAAGCATTTTTCGAATTCATACAGAAACTGGCAATATCTGGACACATTTACTAGGTACACTGCTTTTTATTACTAGTGTAGTATTAAATAACACTAAATGTACTATCCATGTGCACTTTCTAAAAAAAGACCGTATACACAGCATATTCTTTTAAGTATATTCTGTGAATTTTGGTTATCAATTTTGTTCATAAAAATATTTTATTCTTTACAGGCTGTGTTGCCTTTATTGGTATAGCTATATTTTTTCTAACGCAACCTCCTATAGAAATTCAATTGGAGGAAAAATTGGTATTTGGTACCTTCTTTGCTGGTGCTATAATTTGCCTAGGAATGTCATTTGCCTTTCATACAGTTCATTGCCACAGCGAATGTGTGGGAAAGCTGTTTTCAAAGTTAGATTATTGTGGAATAGCTATGCTTATTATGGGTAGTTTTGTACCATGGCTTTATTATGGATTTTATTGCGACTATCAACCTAAGCTAATTTATCTGTCTGTGGTGGTTGTTCTTGGTATAACCAGTATTGTAGTTTCATTGTGGGAGCGATTTGGTGAACCAAACTATCGTCCACTTAGAGCTGGAGTTTTTATGGGTTTTGGACTTAGCGGGGTAAGTTGTTTTTTTTTTTAATTATTTATTGTTTGATTTCAAAATTTATGTTTTAATTCTGTGTTTTAATATATCTAATAATATTTTAACTCCATTGTTGTATATTTAGGTAATACCAGCTGTACATTACGCTGTCGCCGAAGGTTGGTTCAAGGCGATTAGCCAAGCATCCCTCGGATGGTTAATATTAATGGGATGTTTGTACATATTAGGCGCGTTATTTTATGCTTTAAGGGTACCTGAACGTTTTTTCCCAGGAAAATTCGATATTTGGGTAAGCATTATTAAAATTATTGATTTCTCGTGATTCGAGTACATATTATTTTAACGATATCATACATTAAAATTTTAACATATTAACTTTATAGTTTCAGAGTCATCAAATCTTCCATGTATTAGTAATTGCAGCTGCTTTTGTTCATTACCATGGCATTACAGAAATGGCAATGCATAGAATGACAATAGGCGACTGCACAAATCCATCGCAGGTGTTGGCTTTTTAAATCTGCGGGCACACACTTTCATCTTGTTGATAACTTTCATATGTCATTAACCTAATAAAAAAAGACTACAAAGATTCCTAAATCTTACGCCAGCATATTTGTGCTGTTGAAAGATATGGTAAACGTAAAGTAGAATGGATATATTTAATTTCAGATTTATGTTAGAATATATTTTAGAATATGTTGCTTGTTTATTTAATTGAATTGGTCTTATTAATTTTAAAACTAGTGGTTACTTTTTGAAGATATTTTTATAACTGCAAGTTGTTTGATATTGTTGAATCTATTTCAACTTCCTTTAAAATTAATGTGATTTCGATATATATATATATATTTATTGAGATATTTCTTTTTGCAATTGAATAAATAAGACATTAGTAAAAGATAGTATGTACATGAAATTTCAGTACATGCTTAATCATGATGAAATACAGTATTCAAGCTAAAGTTTTTTAAATTTCTTTAAATACGAGATATAAAAGTTTACATATCATTTTTTTAAATGCACTCTATCGAATTCGGATACTGTAACGAAATTCCGACAAAAGTACACAATGTAAACTTAAATGGCCATATATTACTTATTTTCAGATCTTGAATTTTAAAAATTATATATAAATATTTATATTATCTTTTCCCTTATAATTCTCTCTTCTTTCATTTACGTATGTATATTATAGTTATAAATAAGTAATTTAGTTACAATTAATTATTATAGAAAAGATTAAAACTATTCACTATTTTTGAATTACTAAATAAGCATTAGTTGCATTTGGGGGCTTTGATAAAAAAAAGAGAAATATTTGTTTTCTTATATAAACTTGATATAATACGTGAGGCAATAGGCAACGAAAACGAAATGCGTATGTGACTAAGATTTAGGAAGCAGCCGTTGCTATGTGAACGATTTTGTAGGACATAAGTACTATAAAATCTATAATATGTATATTTTGAACAAAGTCATTGTTACAATAATATATGGAAATTTGTTTAATATATACTGTCATTTTATATATATGTATATATTATGTATATATATATATATATATATATATAAAATATGTGATGTACCAATCTAATTTTTTCAAAAGCATTTCTTATTTTCCAATTTGTATACTATATATATTCAAAGTTCTTGATATATAGAATTCTGATAATATCTACATATATCAGATGTATTAAAAAAAAATTTTGTATATAAAAGAACTCTGTATATAAAAGAAAAGGAGAAAGGCGATGTTTAATCTTTGAATTAAACATGATTGACTTATATCTGAGATTTAATTATTTGTTTAAGTATCACCACCTGTTATTCCTGCTATATATCCATCTGCTACATACAAATATTTTCTCTATTCCCTAACGATTTTTATTCCCTTTTGAATCGCTAAATCCATTTAATGTTCATTTCCAGTTCTAAGAATTAGGAAAAGATAAACCAAGAGTAAAGTTAAAATGCGCGAGGAGATTCGATATATATGCGGTCCTGCCACTAGATGGATGCACTTCTCGTAAGAAGAAAACTCAGAAATCCTATACGTGATGTATAAGAAGTATACAAATTGGGACTTTTATCAGCTTTTTAAATTTCTCAAATTTTTTATAAAGTCGAAATACTTAGAAGTTATACATATATATAGTAAATTCTGAAATATTCCAAGATTTCATTTCATAATTTCTAATGAAATCTTATAAAAAATCTGAAAAGGTTTAAAGTACATATTTTCATTCACACACACACACACATATAAAAAATTCTAAGAAAAGATGCAGACTTTCTTATCATTTTTTATGTTTCAATTCATATAAAAAATATGAGAAAAATTTTTACCAGGCAGTTTCAGAATATTATTTCGAGAAATAAGACTTCAAGCAAAACCATAGCGAAACTCGTTCGGGCTTCCTCTTCCGCGAAGGGGAACTCGCTCGGAAGCTACGTTCGGAAACGTTACCCAGGTGCCCCCTTATCATCTTATCTTCGTTTAATATTGGGTGAACAATAAGGACAAAACGATACACGGAGGCACTCGGGTAACGCTTTCGAACGCAGTCTTGCGCTTTATACCCTTTCGCAGAACTCGTCAAGGCGGTCGTATCGGGAGGGGATATAAAAATGAAGCGATATCGAGACATAGTGCGCTCCAGCGCACTCTACGACGAACGAAAGAGAGAGAAAGAGCGGGTGTTGAATTTTTCTCCTTTAATTCTCCCTCTGCCGCGCACCACGTCGCACGATTCGCGACACACGACTACACGAGTCGACGTGATTGGCCACCCTCACCGGAGGATAGTCGTCTATGGTCTATCATCGACGAAGCTGACACATTCAGTTCGCAGAAGTCATCGGACGTACGAGGATATAAGGAGAACTGTCCTGGTCCCATTCGAAGATCAGCCGTCTTCCAACGTGGACCAGAAGTGATCAGAAGCAGAGGTCGAGAGATAGTCGAGAGCTTGATTATCGTCCAATTGTATCCAGATAAATCAACAACGAAACGTTAATATGTGCGTACGTACGTTGATTGGTAACGAGACGAACGAGCCGATTGCGCCGGTCACCGATTCGAAGCAATGCAGCAAGTCCCGTGTCAAGGAGAAGTACGTCAAGCTCTACGAGGAGATGATAGAGAAGGAGAAGCTCCAGCGTCAACGAGAGCAAGCGGAGAACGCGCTCTTCCTACCCGACCTGGCCGATGATGTCCTGGTCACCAGCACTAATCACTACAGTCAGATACTGAAGAAGCTGTCTACGTATTACGAGGTCACGCGCCGCTCCAAAGTGTTTAAGTAAGTATAAAACGACCCTCCTCCATGGTTTTCAGCATAAAAACCGAGAGTTGAAGAAATGAAGAAATGATTTTTCTTATTCGAAGACTGTTTTTTCGTCAGATCTCTTTGACTCTCGTCTCATCTGTTGTGCTTCACTTTCTTCTATCACAGGTTCTGCGACGACGAATCTGGGTGATACGGAGCCAGCTAGGCGTACGTGAGCTCTTCAGGTCGGTGCGAGGTCCTTGCGCCTGCGAGGATCTCGTGTATACGCAATTCGCGGGCGTAGTCTTATCTTGTAGGTCATTCACGCTAATTTTATATAGAAAGTTTTTTTATTACAGTTTTTTTTATTAACGAAAGTGTATTTATTACAATCATCATGACTTTATTTGTCATTTCTAAATTCTTTAAATTCAGTTCTTCATTTTTAAATAAGAAATAAATAATTTGTCATCTTTTGATTTTTTTTTTCATAAATTCTTTAAATTTAATTCTTTATTTTTAAGTGATAAATATTATAAATAGAGCCAAAAGTTTTAATTAATAACTTGGTAATTTTTTAATCTTATCACGATAAATAAATAATTTGTCTTTATTAAATTCTTGATTTTAGATGACACAGAAAGACGTGATGATGATACATGATTTTGTACTACTTGAGTACACATCTGTTGCGCGTCACGAGACCTGTTTTCGGGAAGTTCCCATGGCAAAGCATCATTACTTACTATTAATAATCTTTACATACGATTTGCAAGAACTCGATACGTGCAGTGTCTTCGTATGCGATATTTTTGAAATTGAAGCAGAGTGAAATCGCTTCATCATAGCCGTCTTCATGTTCTCGTTACTCGAGACGCATATGGCGATATCAACGAACGCGGACAATATGTGTAACGCAATGCAAACATATGCAAAAAAAATAATATTCTTTACATATTTTTTCCTAGGCATGTATTCTTCGTAAATAATGTTCGCTTCAATAGGTTTTCGGGAAATTTGCTATGACGGGATTATTACAATCGGGAATAAATTATCTCCATGATAGTTATAGCTCCAAATTTATTGGATAGAGTCATATCGATGCATCAACACTGTATAAAATTTCGATGATAAAGATGTCTCGCTAACTCGCTATCGAGGAGCAAAGGTTCGTCGCGATTCGAAGCAAAGTTGGAGCACGAAACGTGATTGGTAATTTTTTTCACGACTATCTGTACATAGAAGGTCAAATCTTAAAACTTTTAGCTAGATGATCTTAGAAATCTTAATCTAACGTCACATAAGAAAACAAATACAATAGTTAAGGGGGTACGATTGATATTTTAAAATAAAAAATTATTTGATTATTACAGAAAATTACAGACAATTCTAGATCACAAATTTTTGTCTTAGACTTAAATTTTTGGTACTATTTTTAAAACATTTGAGTTTATAAATACAATAAAAATAAGTAAATAAATAAACCATAAAAATGTGTTGTTTAATGAAAATAGAATGTTATAAACACAACTTCATACATGTATATAGTTTGTTTAAAAAAAAAAAAAAGTATAAATATTAAATATTAATATGTACTACATAGATCGTATCTCCTTAAGCAAAACGACCAATTATTGAGTAAAGGAATAACGTAAGCATAATAAATAAAAAAATATTGATTTGCTTACAGCTTACGTTTTTCTATATGCAACTATCTCAAGAAATAAGATAATCACAAATACGTGTATCCTATATTTATTTTTAGAAGCCGAAGTAAAAAGAGAAGTCCAATTCTTGCAAAAATTGCAAGTTATTTACATATTGCTATCGCTATTTCATGGAATGGTTTTGTCGAAGTGTCTAAAAATTTAATTAGATATAGATAGATATAGAAATAATAATTTTGAGTTATCAAAATATCTATGTAGGAAACTCACACACACTCACACACACACACACACACACACACACACACACAAGCATGATGAACAATATATTGCAAAATGTTTTGACATTTTTGCAACACCATTTTTTCTGTATTTCTAATAATATGTATGTACATTTTAATACGGCGTATAAAATTTAATTTTGGTATCGCAATTAGGTTTAGTATCACTGGAGGCGCGATAATAAACTTCTGATTATCTAAGATTAATCTAAGAGATATATGCAGTCACGCGAGTATATTTTTTAATTTTATCGAAATAGATCGCCAGAGTAAAAAAAATCACTTATCGTTGACGCAGTACACATAACACACGCATCTTAGAGTGTTTTTAATCGGAATTGAATTTCTACATTCATACAAACGCTATGGATGATGCAATGGATGATGCAAGAGAGATCGATAACGTACAATAAATTTCAATAGAAAATTATTTATGTTTTCTCGGGAAATCTTATGTGCAATTGCTCGTATCTCATCTGTGTATTTCCTCATTTGCGCGACTTATCTGTCTTAACTCGATGCTAATCTTCGGTCTATTTCCGAGTCGTTACACAGCAAAGATTAACGGTAAAGCGCGCAAAAAACTTTTTATCAATCGCGATTAAAGAGCATCCCATAATCGCCTTTATATTTAATGGAACGAGACGTTTGGTTTAAAAAAAAAAATGATTAAATTATCCTTGACTACGAAAACTTTATTATAATTATTTTAATTTTTTATGCACGTTTGCATAAAAATTAAAATCTGCAATTAAAGATTTTTCTATTTCTATTATTATAATTATTTTAATTTCTTGTATGCAAGATATTTCTATTTTTATACATTACATGTTCGTTTCGTTAAAGATCTTCAAATATTGCAAAACAGCGTACTATTTTCGGAGTTTCCTAATATCTCGTAAGTGATTTTTCTCCAAGGTCATCCTCGCGTTTTCTAGATATTTTTAAAACAATCTAACAATGAGTTTCGAGCGCAAACTTTAAAAAAATGAAAAAGTTTTACGATTCTCTTAATTTTTTAAAATTTTAATTAAAAGATTAATATCGATAATGCTCCAATAACATCCTAGGCATATTTTTTCCGAATATCCAGTAATAGTAACCACTAATGGTAACATCAATGTTATAATTTCACACTCAACAAATAAATGTAATATATAATATAACATATGTTCAGGGATGGGAAGTAACAATATGAAATTATAACATTGATGTATTGGTGTTTACTGTTCCATATGTAACTGAGAGGGATTGCGTGATCGAATAAGTTCTTCTGTCAATCACCGCAATTATCTCGGGCGTTAACACTAGGCATCCATAATTAGTCAATCATTAAGTGTGTGATTATATGTCTGCGGCGTGTCTCGTGCCAGAGCGCAATGACTGCGTCTGCCACGTCATATATTCTCTACGGAAAACGTAGAGACGTGCGAATGGAATAATGCAGCCTTGAAAAGGCCGTGCGTGTGAACAATGCATGGAATGAGCTTTTTTCGCTTTTCCCCCGAGGCCTCTCATCGATCTTCTTTCTTTATCGCGTGCCACATTCTCTTAGGATTTATTTATATTTCATAGGTATTTCTTTTTATATCCTGCATTTTTAAAAGATAAAATTATATCTTTATAAATATATAGCACCATTAATAAGATGTTCTGTTTTTATTTTCACTAAAGTACTTTATTTTATATTATTGCTATTGCAATTATATTTTATTACAAAGTATATATATTTAGTGCAAGAACACAAGTACATGATTTCTATTATGTAATCATTTAGTGGTTGCAACGATTTAGGAGATTAAATTTTTTGCTGGGTTTTATTTATCCTCGATGAACCAGGCTGCTCTGGCAAAAATTTTTCTTAGAATTTTTTATATAATTTGTTAGAGTTTTTTGTTAATTTTTTGTTAATTTTTTGAGTAAATAAAAAAACGTTCGAATTTTTCAGAACTCTCGCATAATTTTATAACTTTTTTGAAAATTTCTCAGATTTTTTGTACAATATTTATTACACAAATTGGAATATTCGGAATATATTTCCGAAGAAAATTGATAAAATTTCGAGAAATTCAAGTGATATTTTGCTATAAATATATGATACAAAAAATTCTCAAAAATATTACGAAGTATGAGAATTTTTCCATCAAGGTTCTTTTATTTTAGAAATACGTATAATTTAGTGCTAGAATACAGTTATATAATTTCCACCGTGTAATGACCATCCAAATTAGTAGTAGATTAAATTTCCTCCTGAGTGTTTCATCATGTTAATCGTTACATCGTAAATTATCATTTTTTTTTTCAATAATATACATAATGCGTGCACTTTTCGCACGCCAGGCGTCAGTAATTCTTGTTTGCACAGCATAATGGAAGATAATGGACTTCCTTTCGCACTCTCTGGAACTGCATACGTGCGCATTCTCGGGACTGGTAACACAACTCCAATAAAAAGATATAATTACAGACTCCGAGTGCGTCGGGCGACCGCAGAAACTCGTTCGTGCTATAAAGGCGTGGAGGAATATCTTGTCACGGACGTTCTTTATTAAAAGGCCCGATCCGTTGATCGATTATCCTAGCGTCTCGAAAATGCATCCTTGAAATCGTTTAATCATCTTTAATAATTACTTTCGCGAAATTAATACGATGACGGTATTTTGTACGTCAATCGGCCGATCAAAAAGAGATTATCTTATATTTATATATTACACATCGTATATTTTCAAGAATATTATTATTATTATTATGATTAGATGCTGTAGATATCATGTATACATATGAATCACTTCGTTAAAACAAAGTCGTGTTATAATTGTTCCCCATTTCTACACGGGTCTAATTAACGACCTGGTATTATCAGTATATTAGTAATAATTGATAATTTGATAACACAATTGACAAAGTCTCAAGGATTTCTATTTATAGAAATTTTATTCTAAGTGAACAAACGAGTTTAGGAGGGTTTCTATCGGGAGACATGCCCAACAGGCGTTCTTGTCGCGTTGAATGTGCAGTTGGCTGTTCGCCAAGTTGTTCGACATCTTTTGCATCTCGAGAGAATCTGCAAATGAAGCTTGACTAA